TGAAGTGTTGCTCTTTGTTGTGGCTTCTTCGTATGTTTGGGGCTGCCCTTCTGTATGTTTGCATATGTGTTCCTGTGCGGGGCCGCCGCTTTTGTTTGTTTCGGCTCTGGCTTGAAACGTGGACAGCGGAAACGAAAAACGCCCAAAAGCGTTGTTGACATCAGGCTCTCGTTAGGTCGGGCATGTCCTCCTACAGGTGGGTTTTGGACGAGAATTGAAATACGATAAATACTCAAAAAGGAGTCTCACACACAGCAGAAAATCGCCCCAGGACCATCGTATTACGATCTTTGAGTATTCCTCCTGAGGAGGGACACGCCCGTCTTAAGGCTCTCGCCTCGAGCGCGGCGCGATGTCGTCTTCGCGCTCTCGCGCGGCCACCCCGGAGAAGGACCGCTGCGCGACCCAGGCCGCGGAGCGCGGCCCCTTGGGGGGGGACCTTCGGAAAGGCTCCCGCTCGCAGTCCTCCACAGCTTTTGGCGCGCGCGGCAGCCGCCTCCGTGGAGGAACGGATCAGGGCTGAACCTGAACGGTGTTTTTCGTTTTCGTGTTGTTTTCGTTTTCCCTCGTTTTGTCACCAATCAACCTCTACCGCAAAACAAAAGTCGAAACGAAGACGGCCCACGAAATCGCCAAAACACTGTTTAGGTCCAGCCCTGGAACGGATCCCGATACCGCTGCTCGTCCTGGAGAGCCCTCGTCGCCACAAGAGGATTGCCCTCGAAATTCTGGTCGGAAGGCACTCCATGGGAGGTGCGGAGAGTAGCGGCATCTTCGAGCCTCGAGGGCAAAATACGGGATGACACGCACGCGCAATTTCAAACTCCGCGCGGATTTCTAGGATCGTCGCCAGGGAGGGGGGGCCCAGCGCCGACCCAAGAGCTCCGCGCGGCGCCCCGAAACTTAGCGACTCCGCGAATTTGGACGTGGACGCTTCGGGCCTCGCACACGGTGGGTGGCGCACCAATGCGCAATACGGCGGGCATGTTCCTCTATTCCCGAGGGGCACGCCGTCTCACTGCCCCCCAACAACCGACGCCCCGATCTCCCTATGTCTTTCTGGTATGATGCAGATGTAGCGCAACAGGTCGTCACCTACATGTGCATCTGGCCAGGAGAGCCCTGCGTGATGCCGCTGCGGATCTGGGAAGAGGATGTCAGCAACCCCTGCTGCGGGGCCATGCCCGATAACAACTGAATTGGACTTGCCATTTGCTGCTGCCGGCTTCAACGTCTCGAAATACTGCGTGATGAGCAGCAGTTCCGAGACCTTATCGGAGGAGAGCTGCCCCGAGGTCCCAGAGGTGACAGACCTCTTCAAACCTTCTACGATGGCCTCGCGCTGTTTGGCAATGCCGTCGCCCTTCAAACGGACTGCTTCGCAGCCAACTCTGCCTTCTTCACCACACGGATCTTCTCTGCAACAGCGGCCTGCATCGCGGAGGCGTATCTGCTTGTTGATCTCGTTTATGGAATTCAGAGCTTCCTGGCTGGAATTCAACTCTATAACAAGGGCCTTGATGATCTGGAAGCCGTACTCGTTTGAAGGTTTCGTTGGCAATGCTTCGTCCAAGATCATTTTCGGCACGGTCGACCGCACTACATCGGAGATATACGAATCGATACGTCCGCTGACATTGGCGAGCCTATCCGCTACCGTCCTCTCTGGACTCTGAGGTGAGAAACTGTCCGTCGGCTGCCTGGTCGGATGTCTGCCTGGGCTACCACCCCTCCAATCCCCCCCAAAACAGATCGAACCCTCCCCACACCACGCCCTGCGACGGGCCAAGATCGCCCAAACAGGGCTTCAAAACGGTCTCGAGAGTCGTCAACGGCAGCCGCATTGCCATCTCGAAGCATAACGTCCCACAATAAGTTCGACTGTGTCAATAATCATCGAGTGGGGGCTGATGTCCCATGGTGTTGTGGATGCCATGACAATGGACACTCTAACAATCCGATCAGTGAGTTAAACAGGTCTCTTTAAAACGTGTGAAACATGTTCTAAACATGCTCAACACATGTTTTAACATATTTAACTAGAACCACGCGCGCGCTTCGCGCGCGCTTAGGTTCTGTCGAGTCACAGACCCAGGAATCGTTGTGAGAAGAAATTGGTGACGCGAACCGTCGTGGGCGCGTCCTTGGACGTCTGGGGTCTCCTGGGGCCTCTTGAGGGGCCTCCTGGGGGCCTCCTGGCGGCCTCTTGGGGCGGAAGGCTCGAGCTTGCGGTTCGTGGTCCCCCTCTGGGCCCCCTCTTGGGCCCGTCTTGGGGCCCTCTTGGGCAATCTTGGGCGCCTCTTGGGCCGTCTTGGGGCCCTCTTGGGCTGTCCTGGGGGCTTCTTGGGCCGTCTTGAGGCGGTCTTGGGCGCCTCGTGGGCCGTCCTGTAACGTCGGAAAGCCCCCAAAGCAACTTTGTTGAAACATGTACGTTTTACGAAGGGAATGGGCCAACTTTTGCGTCTAGGGGCCCTCTTGGGACGCATGTTGAAGCTTCTTGGGGCCTCTTGGGGGCGTCCTTGGACGTCTGGAGGCCATCTTTAGCATCTCGGAGCCCTCTTGGAGGCCTCTTGGAAGTTTCTTGGGCCGTCTTGTCTGACCGGGGAGGCCTCCGGCAAGCCCCGACGAGCCTCCGGGCCCCCCGGGGCGCACATTTGTGGTCGGGGTCCCGGCCCCGGGCCCCCGGACCCGGTGTGGGGGCCTCCTGGCGGCCTCTTGGGGCGGAAGGCTCGAGCTTGCGGTTCGTGGTCCCCCTCTGGGCCCCCTCTTGGGCCCGTCTTGGGGCCCTCTTGGGCCATCTTTAGCGCCTCTTGGGCCGTCTTGGGGCCCTATTGGGCTGTCCTGGGGCCCTCTTGGAAGCTTCTTGGGCCGTCTTGGGGCGGTCTTGGGCGCCTCTTGGGCCGTCCTGTAACGTCGGAAAGCCCAAAAGACAACTTTGTTGAACATGTACGTTTTACGAAGTGAATGGGCCAACTTTTGCGTCTAGGGGCCCTCTTGGGCCGCATGTTGGAGGCTTCTTGGGGCCTCTTGGGGGCGTCCTAGGCTACTCTGGGCCCCCTCTTGGGCCCGTCTTGGGGCCCTCTTGGGCCATCTTGGGCGCCTCTTGGGCCGTCTTGGGGCCCTCTTGGGCTGTCCTGGGGCCCTCTTGGAAGCTTCTTGGGCCGTCTTGGGGCGGTCTTGGGCGCCTCTTGGGCCGTCCTGTAACGTCGGAAAGCCCAAAAGGCGACTTCGTTGAAAATGTACGTTTTACGAAGGGAATGGGCCAACTTTTGCGTCTAGGGGCCCTCTTGGGACGCATGTTGGAGGCTTCTTGGGGCGTCTTGGGGGCGTCCTTGGACGTCTGGGGTCTCCTGGGGCCTCTTGAGGGGCCTCCTGGGGGCCTCTTGGCGGCCTCTGGGGGCGGAAGGCTCGAGCTTGCGGTTCGTGGTCCCCCTCTGGTCCCCCTCTTGGGCCCGTCTTGGGGCCCTCTTGGGCCATCTTGGGCGCCTCTTGGGCCGTCTTGGGGCCCTCTTGGGCTGTCCTGGGGGCTTCTTGGGCCGTCTTGGGGCGGTCTCGGGCGCCTCGTGGGCCGTCCTGTAACGTCGGAAAGCCCAAAAAGCAACTTTGTTGAAAAATGTACGTTTTACGAAGGGAATGGGCAAATTTTTGCGTCTAGGGGCCCTCTTGGGACGCATGTTGGAAGCTTCTTGGGGCCTCTTGGGGGCGTCCTTGGACGTCTGGAGGCCATCTTCAGCATCTCGGAGCCCTCTTGGAGGCCTCTTGGAAGTTTCTTGGGCCGTCTTGTCTGACCGGGGAGGCCTCCGGCAAGCCCCGACGAGCCTCCGGGCCCCCCGGGGCGCACATTTGTGGTCGGGGTCCCGGCCCCGGGCCCCCGGACCTGGTGCGCCGTTATATGTATAAACATATTTGAACCATCGTTTAGGCATCTGGAAATTATTTGGCAGCATGCCTGCTCTCCATTGATCGACTTCCACAACCACGGTGAATCTGGACAATGTGCTTCCACGGTGTGGCCCAGTAGTACCTCGGGAGCTTCTCAGAGAGGCGTATAAAAAGGCTCACAATACATCCCGACACGGCCGCAGGAGAGCCCCGCATCAGCGCAAGCCGACCACAGAGCCCCCACAGGCGCTTCGCGATGCGAGAAGCACGAACAGCCTCGCGCTCTCGCGCCGTCGGCCCCTGTTGCCGACAGCCCAAGACCGCGCCGAGAGGCTCCAAGACGGCCCCAGCGCCTGCCCGGGCGACTCCAAGAACGTCCAGCCGAGGCGCCCCCAACAGGTTCCCAAGAGGCCTCCTGGGGCCCTCCCAAAGAAACCCTCGAGAACCCCCTCCCAAACAAAAGGCAACACAGATGCAACGACACGGCTGCGCGACGCCACGCTGCAGAGCTGCGTACTAGACGGCCACACGCTGGTTCTACCGAGCCCATTCGCAGACATCGGTAAAACCGCCATGCATGCGTTTCGATGCTGCGCTGGAAAGGTGGCGGGGTCTGCCGCAGGCAGCTGAATACATGGCTGCCTCTGCTTGCTCTGGATTGCTGCTGAACTGAAATCTTGACTAGAACGAACACGTTGGTGTTCGTCTTGGTCTCGACGAACACGTCGTTCTGCTCGACGCGGTTGATAATGGAGCGGAAGGCCATACAGCAACCCATTACGTCAGTACGTCGCACCTGCCGACGTACAGGCCAATTCTGGTCGACTTGGTGAAGCTCCCAGAGAACTCCACGGCGTAACTCGTGTCCTGCGGCAGGTTAACGCAACAATTGCAGCAAAGTGTGCATCTGGACTCCTGTCTCTGCCGGCCCGCCATCGCCTGGCCCAACAGCGCAGGGACTGCAGTGCGAGGCGCCTGGACGCTGGCAAGATCGTTTGCTGGCCAGCCGTGGAAACTGCTGCTTGGAGCAGGGCTGAACCTAAACGGTGTTTTTCGTTTTCGTTTGGTTTTCGTTTTCCCTCGCTTTTGTCGTCAATCCGCCTTTAACGCAAAACGCTGTCGAAACGAAAACGGCCCACGAAATCACCAAACACATCGTTTAAGTCCAGCCCTGGCTTGGAGCCGACACACCGCGCGAGCTGAAGACAGCAGCAACGGCACCAGCACGAGGAGAGCCACAAGCGAAGCCGTCTCCGAGTCTGGCGGTAGACCAGCGGTCAAGAAGCGAACCGAATAGTAAACAAATATACGCGTCTGGTTTTGGAAGGCACAGATGCGCAACAAAAATTATCTACCCGTGCAGCTCCCTTTCTGCGGAGAAGGCCATGGCCCTCTTCGGGTGAGCCATGTCAAAGGAGGCCGACATAGTAGGTGACTGTGGTGCGGGGCTTTTGTTTGGATGTGATATTCTGTACTATCGAGGCAATACTGTACTCGAGAAAGTTGACACATGCGATCGCTGAGGTCGACGCTGGGACTGGGGCGCCGCTGAAAGGCTCTGTCGCTGAGTTCACAAGTCCTGACAACGGGGAGGGGCGGGGGGCCCTAGACTCATCGAAGAGGCCGGCCGCAGGACGATCCTACAGGCCCCGCCAGACGGGCCCCCAGAGCACTCCAAGACAAGCATGCAGCCCTTAGACTGCCCAGAGAGAGTCTAAGACTGCATCGAAATTGCCTCTGGACGGCCAGAGGCGCTTGACGGCCTCACAAGGGGCTTGCTTCCCCGAATGATTCTTTGAAACCGATGGGGTCAATACCTGAACAACCACGCATGCTTAGCTGCTTCTGCCTGTGCCGCAGCAGTGCTTCTGACGATCGCCCCCTCTCGCTAATAACCGGAGCAAAGTAGGCATGCAAGCCTGAATCGTCCAGCGGGGTGGGAAGAGCGCACATAGTACAGTTAAGCATGCAGCGGCACATGGCATGAACTGCTACGGTGTCTGATACAACCAAGAAGGCGCGAGATGCCGTACAAGGCTCTGTTAAAAAGGGAACACACATTGGTCAGCGGTGCTGGCGGCCACGTGCCCATAAATCTATATATATATATGTATATATATATATGTATAATTCGTCGCCTGGTTTAGCAGTCCTTCGGGCAAGCCAGGTTAGCGAACCAAATGCTGTGACGGCTCACTCGTCTTTTCCGCCCCACGCTTTGAACCTGCCTAAGTCGTGCGCACAGATGTAATCCAAGACGTGATCGTGAACAAGATATTTCAGGGACTTCCCCTGCTGTAGCAGCCGCCGTACCAGCGTGGAGGACACATTGTTCTGCACGCTGGGATCGAACACAACGATGTTCCCACTGTGCCTGGTCAGCAGCGGGTCGGCCGCGATTACCTTTCCTATGTTGGTGCCCTCGCGATTCATGCACACAGCGCCACACTGGCCGAGGATTGTCTCCTGGTCTTCCTGGGACCACACTGGCTCACCGTTCTCGTGGAAGGCTGTGAACGACTCCAGCAAGTCAGCGCCACAGACCAGCATTGCCTTTGCTCCAGGGTGCAACCTATCAACTTCCCTCTGAAACCTGTCCCTCAATACCAACGCAGTGCGGATCCAATCTGTCTGCGCACACTCCCAACTGTCCACCTGCAACCAGCTGGAGTCTTGAAGAGCAAGGCCGACCATGTTCACGCGGTGGTGCATCGAGACCAAACTCTTCTTGCCATACTTCTCGTGACACGGGGATAGAAACCCTCCCGCAACATGGTACCCTCGCTCGACCATTGCGTCCCTCGCATCCTCCAAGAGGCGCAGGTGGAACGTTGTTGGGGGGCTGAAAGAGCCACACTCAACGAGGACAAAATTAGGCTTCCCGTCGCTGGAAAATCTGAGTTTTTCTGTCCGGAGTCGAGTGGCCGTCACCAGGGCGCCATTGTGTGGAAACAATGCGAAGGACACAGACGCCTGTGACCTCCCACCGCATAAGGTCGCGACCCTGATAACGCTGCCCCCCATCACTGCTGCCACAGCAAACAATATGGCGAAACCAGTGTACGTGCTGACTTGGCGCATGGCATGCTGGGCCAACATTGGTGCTACTGAGATGCAGACCTGTGTTTGATATCAACATGGGGACAAGCTGAGCAGGGAGGGAGCCCGCCACTACGCACGCGGCGTGTTGCGCGCGACAGACCGCTCGGATCACACCCCGGACCCAGAGGGCCCTGCTGATTGTCCCAAGATGGTCGATGTCGGGTCTAGGATGGCCAACGAAGCAACATTTTTGCCACACGAGGCTCCTACATGGCTTCACGAAGGACCACTGAGAGGGGACTACACATCACGTCGCTCAGGTGATTGGGTGTGGTTGGCACGCCATTTTCATCAGCGGCTGCACAGGCTTCCAAGAGGGCCCAACGACTACAGTCAAGTGCTCCAAGAGGGCACCAGGAGGGCACCCAAGACGGCCTCCAAAGGCGTCAGACGGGCCAAGAGCCCCCTGAGACGATCCAAGAAGCCCCAATAGTCTCCTAATATACCCCCAAGAGGTCCCGAAGAGGCCCCCCAGAGGCCCTCAGGCGGCTCCCAGGACGTCCCTCGATGTTCCCAAGAAGCCTTATCCTCCTCGTTTCCAGTTCCCCTCTCCTCCTCAAGGACGAGGTCACGACCACCACCAATTCAGACCTCTCGCTGAACTCCTGCGGAGCGTGGCCTCGACCTCCCTCCTACCGCGCGGACGACGACGAGGTCGAACTTACGACCCGTCGCAGTTCAGACAACTAGTCGGAACTGCGCAATTCCTACACTCAGCGTTATTCCTGCTGCGCTGTTGCGCATGCTCGCGGCAAGCTTGTCATCCAGGACGGCCCTCAAGACCCAACACGAATCCGCCGACCCCTTGGGGTCACGACGTGTGAGATGCTTCCCCCTCCACAAACCCCTCCCCCGGGAGCCCGGTCTGGCCGGTTTGGAGGGGGGGGGGGGGCAAAGGTGTCGGCCGCACCCTTGGAGCCTCAGGGGGGGGCCCCAAAACGAGCCAAGAGGGCCCTCATAGGCCTCCCGGACGGTCCAAGAGGGCTACGAGTCGCCGAAACATTGTTCCAAGACGCCCAAGATCGCCTCCAGACAGTCCCAGAGACCCGCAAGACGCCCCAAGAAGCCACCAAGAAGCGTCCCAAGATGCCCTCCAGAAGCAAAAACCGTCCCATTCCCGAGGGGAAACGTATATCTTTAGCACATTCGCCCCTTGGGCTTCCACGAGGCCCACAACGGCCCAAGAAGCCTTTTAGATCGACCCAAGGCAGCCCAAGAGGCCCCCAAGAGGGCTCCAAGGGCCCCAAGACGGCCCCAGAAGCTTCCAAACCGACCCAGGGTCCCAGGATGGCCCCAGGAGGCCCAGAGGGGGAACCGGAGTGAACATTTCGAGCGCTCGGCCCGGAGAAACCTGAGGAGGCGCCAGTAGGCCCCCAAGAGGCTCCCACGAGGCCCCCCAAGAGAGGCCCAAACGAGGCACCCAGAGGCTGCAAAATGGCTCGCACGAGGCCTCAAAGGTTCTGCCAGGAGAGCCTGGAGAAGCCCAAGAGGGAGCGGCGATCCGCCAACCGCTTCCGACGAAATCCCAAGAAACTGAAATCCCAAGACTCCCTAGAAATTCCGCAAACTCAGTTTTTCACTCTTTCTGCCGCCCCAAGGGGTCGGCGGTGCGGCGTCAGCCAATACATCTGAACAACAAACGCACAAGATGCCTCCCACACCACGCGGCTCTCAGACCCTCCAAAACTGCTGCCAGACACCCCAGGACGCCAACCTGGCCCCAGTCCAAGCGAGCCCAAAAAGGGCACCGAGAGGGTCAGGCCCATATGTTCAGCCGCGTGTCTAGGCAAAATCCTCGAACACACGCTGGCTCAAAAATCGCGCGCCAAGTTTCCCCGATGGAGCCCCACCTTCCCAAGCGCGGTGGCGCATGTGCGCGGTTGCGTAATTAAAAAATGGATAGACAGGAAAGGGGGAACAACTATTTCCCAATGCGTGAAGGGGGGAAGTAGTGGGGGGAAGTTGAGGGAGGATCGGAAGAGAGCGAAATGAGACAACAGAACATCAAAATCGGTCCTGGGACCCATCCTGGCGTCCACACGCACCAATCGTCCGAACTGCGTCTGGCCGTGGCGACGAGGGAGCCTCCCGAAGGCCAACTACCGTTGTCCCAACTCGCCCTCCTCTGAGGCAGGGAGGTGGAAGGGGAGGGATGAGGCACCGGCGATCTTGCAAAGACGCAGCCTGGGGACCCAACGCCCCCATCGATGGCAAGACGACGGCGAGCGAGCACGGCCGGCGAGGACAACGACGACACAACCGACGACGAACACACCAGCGCCGCTGAGCGGGGCCGTCGGAGGCCGACGAGAGCCGCCGACGACGAGAGCCACCGTCTACGAGGCCGAGGCCGAGGCTGACGCCGCCGCCGACGACGACGACTGCGGCGGCGGCAGAGGCGTCGGCGGCGGCGGCGGCGGCGGCGACGACGACGACGACGACAACGACTGGCGCTCCCCGCCGCGCGCGCGCTGGCTGGCTCGCCTGGACGCTCAAGCCCGCGAGCTGGCCTGGCAAGCCCGGGCCGGCCGGTGCGCACAGGACGCAGGCGGCCAGCGGGAGGCGCCGGTTCGCCGCGGTGCAGTCGGAGCATGGCCACGAGAGCGGGGGCAGGTCTGAACCATAGTCGGCCCGTGGAGGAAGGATGGGCGATAAGGATGCAAGGGCCTTGGGCGCCCATTTCGAAGCTTTTCGGGCGGGACGCGGCCAGCGACAACGGCGAAGGACGGATCGAGGAGGCAAGGATGCAAGTGTGTACCCTTGGGAAGGTTGCCCATCCTTACTATGCGAGAAGGTTGCCCATCCTTCCTACGCGAGGGCAGGTCTGAGCCATATCGTCAAGTCGGGCGTGTCCCCCTACAGGGGGATTTTCGACGAAATCTAAAAAACAAAACAAAACAAAAAACGCGCAAAATGCCCTAAAGATCTTCAAAAATGGTAAACAAACAATCCCCTGACTATTTTTAACCTATTTTTGAATATTCCTACTGTAAAGGGACAGCCCCGACATAAAGCACGTCTGAGCCATATCGAGTCGCGACCGAACCAGCTTCGAGCTTTTCCCCATCCTTGAGATTGACAAGGCCAGAACGATTCCAATCTTCGGGATGCGCCCTCAGAAACTCAGGGATCGGCACTGAGATCAAGCGATGCCCTTCCCAGGGATAGCGAAATGTTTCGGGCAGGTAACGACCTAAGGCCTCCCGAGGGTCCCACGCGCCTCTGGAAGCCTTCAGAATGCTTCCGAAGGCCACCGAAGGCCCTGCGAAACGATGCGCCAATCCGGGCCCTTCTCGGGAGCCCTCATGACGCAAGCCTGAACTGGATCGACTCGCGAAATCGAAATAGTTCGGCAACAAAGAAGATCGCCAGCGGATCGCCTGGAATCGGATCGAATCGAAACCGAATCGCTAAAGGCTTCCTACATGAGGTTCGAGTAGGCGGGGTGGGATAATTGTACCGCATTGCCGATCGCCGATGCATCGCCGATAAATCGGCGACGTCGGCGATACATCGACGCCGGCATGGAGAAAGTCTGGGTCCACATCGAGATGCATCCCGGATGCACTGGCGATGCGGCACGACTCACCGACACCATCTACTCAGGCACCACCAGGGAGGCCTAGAATCGCCACGCGGGGCTCTGACTGGACCTGGCCGATGCTGGTGAATCCAACAGAATCGAATCGGGATCGCGGTCCAGGCTGGCGAATCGAATCGCATCGAATCGGATCGCAGGTTTAGGTCGGGTCTGTCCCCCTACGAGGCCTAGAATCGCCGCGCGGGGCTCTGACTGGACCTGGCCGATGCTGGTGCTGCTCGGTCCACTCCCAGGATCCGCCACCGTGCCCCGAGGCACGAACTGGGGTGCTCTCAGGTAAAAGGCTGCAAAGAATCGGCGACTACAATGGGTGAGGTTTGCGAAGGGTGCGGTTTGCCTCCCGTCTTATCTGTCCCTCCCGCCCCCGGGAAACGGATGACACTGTCACTCAATGCGACCGAATCACATGACACTGTCGCTCCTTCTAGTACAATGGAGCACACATCGAGGATGACAGTGTCGCTCGAAACGACGACAGTTATGACATTGTCTGTCACAAAGGCCCTGTAAAGGCCGTCACAAAACAACTCGCAAACCGCACCCCGGCGTAACCGCACCGCACCGGTTGTAGGCGTGCTGGTGGCGTGGCCTCTGCCGGCGCGCCAGTGGCGCGAAGTCCCTAAGAAATTAAATACCTAAGCCGAAAGAAGCAGGTCAGGCGGCAGGCGGCCGCCGGCCAAGTCCTCCCCGCCGCCCCAAAAAAAACCTGTGCCCCCTATGCAGTTGCTCCTAAACGGAGGGAGCTCGGGAACGAGGGGCATGAGGGTAATCATCCCTGCGACGCTAAGGCCGTTCTGGACCCTCAGGCCGGCCGTAGACCCAGGCTCAGATCGGCGCTGGGAGGGTCGCGCTTCCTGCCTCGTGAGCAAGATCCCAGAGGCCTCGAGCGGCAGCTTGAGACCCGCTTGACGTCGGATCCACATCGGACTGATGTCGGGTTCACGTCGGACTGCGTCGGACTTACGTTGGATTCATATCGGATGTACGTCGGACGTACGCCATAACATCGCCGCGCGAACACCGTTCCATACCTGACGAGGCGGACATGCGGACTGAACAGTAGAACTATTGCGCGCCGGGCGAAGCGTCCAACATTGTTGGTGGACGCCGGGAATGGGTACGGCAAAGATGGGTACGATGCCGAACAGCATCCGCGGGACATCAATACGCCAGATGCTTGTTTCGGGCCGGGCGAAAGTGGGGGACAGCAAAGGGGGGGGTTGAGAATCAGCTCACGTAGCTGATTTTCCTGGCGCCTCCCGGCGCCGGGGGGCGGCTATGCATCGGGGAAGGGGCCCCTCGGCGGGGCCGAAACCAGCTGCATGCAGCAGATTTCGTACCCCCCCCCCCTTCCCCTATCCCCCCCTTTCGTCTGGCCCGATTGTTTGGGGGACCATCCTGGAGCCAATCGCCTCTCTCATGCTTCGATGCGCCGAACGTCCGTCGGCTGACGTCGAACCCGAGTCGAGCTCGAGCCGAGCTGGAATCGAAGCAGACGCAGACCAGAGTCAAACAGATCCGCCAGGTGTGTCCCAGGAAAGGAAGGGGCCCTGGGACACACGGATAAACAG